TGACTCTTTTAAAGAACAGGTTCACAATTTCTCACTTCTGCCTTACAGACAGGAGTCTAGTTTTGCTATTTTTTTAGGTCATTCCTGCTGTTAAGAGTCCATATAAATGTTGGATTTGAGCTTCTGCTCCACGCCGACATTATTTAATCACATCATTTCTGCACATTCATACTACAGATCTTCTGTTCTGTCATATCCCAAAGGTTTTCCACCGAGTTCAGCTCAGATCTGAAGTCTGCTGAGGCCACTGAACTCATGGTCATGAAATGAGTTAGAAACAACTTGTGCTCTGTAACATGGTGCATTGTGGTGCAGGAAGTAGCTATTAGAAGATTGTGTCCATAAAGAATGTATACCATCAACAATACTCAGTCATGCTGTGTTATTCAACTCAGGGGTGTCACAATAGCAGATTTCCTCAACAACAATGCTATCATCACAATAAAGAAAGAGAAGAGAATAAGAAAATAATCATCCTAAATCTGTGAAATTATTTAGTGAGTGTATTGTCTCTTCTTTGGCAAATGAATTACAGTCAAACAAGACTGTAGGTGAGTAGAGACTCCTTAACCATAACTGTACTGTATGTTGTTCCTGTGTTGCAGTGTCAACCAGATCACAACGGAAACTGGATTATTTACAATCTTATCATATGTACACTATTAACATGATGCTATCAATGTTTCATTTTTTAAAATCTAAAACATATTATCATTAGTATTACCAGTTCTGGTACATCATTAAACTCTGATTCAGACAATGACTGATGGTACTAAAGGGCCCAAAACATGTAAAGAAAACATCCCCATCACCTTCACACCACCACCAGCTGCTGACACAAGGCAGGTTACATCTCTGGTTGTGTTGTACTGCTGATGCTAAATTCTGAGCCTAAACCTGCAGCCTCAACACAAACGACAGTTCATCTGATCAGGACTGTTCGCTTTCAGTGAGCCTGTCTCATTTTTGCAGCCTCGTGGTCTTCTGCTGCTTTTCCTCGTCTGTCTTAATGTTGAACATGTTGTTTATTCTGAGCTGCTTCTGCGTTGAGCTCAGGTGTAAAGTCGGCTCTATCCAGTTCGGCCTCTGAACTCTGTTTCTATCCACAGAACTGAGTCTCTCGAAGGATCAGCGCGTTCAGAAAACCTTTAAGCCAGCCCGTCTGATACCAACAATCACACCAAGTCGTGTTTCATGTCAACATTAACTGACCTGCATCAAACTTTTATGCACTGTATTGGTTGAGTAATGTGAGGAAAAGCAGATGTAGCCCAGTAAAGATCTCTGAGAAATCAGCGCACTGGAAGAAAACAAAGAGAATTCCAGGCCACAAACACATTAACTAGTGATGAACTCAGACGCTGCAGCCTCATACCATTTGATTTTCGGCTAAATTCAAAGTGCAGGAGGAACGATTTGCAGCAAGAAAAATCTGTTTCCATGTACATGTGGGCATCTGAATGAAAAAATAGTGAAGTTATGCTTTAAGATGTGTATGAAATCCCACACGTTCTGCTTTGCAGTGAGGATTCTTTGCTCAAAGTTAATTTGAACTTTTTTTGTACAAAGCTTCTTCAAAGTTTCTTGCACCATTTTTCTGTTTTTTACAACAATAAAGCAGTGAGTAAAAGAGAGCAGTGTTTAAAATATTGTGCCGTTTTTTATTTTTGTGTAAAAATCACACAGCTGCTAGTTGACTCTGCAGAGATACAGTACATCCATGCAGTTAAACATCTAGGATCCCACAGCCAAGAGAGAAGGAATTAAATAGAATATTCTTTCGCTGTTAGTCAGCAATTAATGCAAATTTACATATGAGTCCAAAAGTGTGTATCATATACAATATACAACACAGATCTGGGAGCAAATAGCATTCAAAATCCCATCAGAGACCTCAGTAATGACTTGATTGCTTCTGCCTGCCTGGATTGCCTTTTGGGGTTTAGGGATGAAGAGGGGAGCTGTTGTGCTAGCAAACATCAATCAATCCCACTCAAAGGTGTTTAATAGGGTTTTAAATGGTATTAGTTCCAGGTCTGCAAACAATAGAACACGCGCACACACACGCACACATACACACCAAGTACATCATCGTCCTCAACAGCAGAAAAAAGAAGGCGAGCCTTGATACAACAAGGAAGAGAGGTCAGTCAGCCACTGTGGAAACCTGAACGCCAGTCTGGGGGGGGAGTAAGGCTTTAGAAGAAGACTGATGCTTCACCAACACACAGGGACAAAACATTCATAAAAAAAAAGTGAATTGACCAAACAAAATAGGACATTTTAGGACACTGGCACAAAAACCTTACAGTTTCTAGGATGTACTGAAGAAATAAAACTCAAGTGGTTCGTCGTGTTTTTCTTCTTATAGCGTCTTTGTTTTTTTAAATAAATGTGAGAGACAAGAACAAACATGCAGGTTAAAAGTAAGCAAAGAGGAACGTAACAAATAAAAGAAATAATGAGGGAGATTGGTGTGTGTGTGTGTGTGGGGGGGAGGAAGGGAGGTTCGGTTCAAAGTGCAGTTGGGTCATTCAGGTCTCCCATTCTGTTGACTGGTCTCCTGTTAAGCTTCATCTACACCCAGCAAGGGTCATATCTTGCAGACTTCAGGTGAAACTGCCCTGATAAAAACACTGATCTGGACTTTACTTCCCTCTGGAGCGGAAGCAGGGGGAAGCGGACCGCTCGTCAGTACCAAAAAAAAAAAAAAAAAGGCAAAATGAGTCACAAACATACAGTAGATGGTTCTGGAAGATCTACGATACCAAAAAAAAAAAAAAAAACAGTATACTGCTCACACAGTTGCTACTATCAAAGTACAAACAGCTAAGTATAGTTGGTCTGTGAGGATGTATCGCCCGTACTTGCATAGTGCTGACTGCCTGATTGGAAAAACAGCTGAATTTTTAAATCAACTCTACCTGCGCCATCAGTTTGAATCTGAAGAGAAATCGCAGGGAAAACGTCTCCCTGATCAGCAACACGATTCTTCATAAACCCGCAGTCAAGCAGCTGGAACATCTTCAAACCTTTCAAGTGAACGTCTGTTTCGAGCAAACGCTGTCCAAAACAGGTGAAGTTAAAGATCGAACATAACCGCAGCGTTCAAGAGTAAGAGATTAAAAAGTAAGCTGAAATGTTGAGCCACAGCTATGTTTGAAACTAAATCAAGAAAACCTAGTAGGAAGGGAGGAGAGGTTGCATTTTCCCTCAACACACAGCCAAAGTAGAGGTGAGAGTGATAGTTCAGTCATTTGGCATAAAGTTAAACCATTCAGTCACATCAATCCTCAAACACTGTGTAACATGGAAAAAAAACAAGACACAACACTTTCTCACAGACACACACACACACATATATGTAGAGACTTGAAGGGGCAGTAATAGGAGGAAGGTAGGCTGAATTTATGTCACAGGATGAGTCAAAAAGCCTTCACCATGATGATTTAGCCACTAAAGGCCTCACACAAAACATACACTCCAGAAGTCCTGAACGGAAGTTGTCCAGTACGTTTTACAAAGGAGGTGAATACACCAAACTCCATTCAAAAAAATGTCAATTTATCACTACTTTCTTCTTGTTTTCCAAGCCTCTTTCAGATTTTTGCAAAATAGTGTACATCCAAGGACAACCAGGCAGCAAATGTTCAGCAGAACAGACTATCTCTGAGGATACTTAAAAAACAAACGCCTTCAAAACAGCTGACTATTGTCCAGTTCTGTATATGTACGATAATAGTGACATTTAAAGTACAGCTTTGAACATTTTGGGAAATGACTGGATTTTTTCAGAAGGTTTTCCCCACAAATATCCTTACAACCACAAAATGTCATTTAACTTTTAAGTGTGTTCGTCTTTAGGCTAAGTTAGGCTAGGTATTTCCCCAAATTGTTTGACATTTCTTTAAATTACCCGACACTTAAAGGGAGTTTGGTGCAGCAGTGTCAAACATACTGACACTAGCCTCCGAGTAAGTCACTGAACAGGAACACAAATGCACAAACAGTCACACACAGACAACAAATACACTCTGCGTTTCTTCTTCAGTCATTCAGAGAGTTAAGTAATCAGACCCCAGCAGTTCGTCTTCAGACCAGACTTAAAGTTGGAGCGTCACGTCCGACGCTTCTAACCGTCTCTCAGTTTGCTGTCATCCTCACTTTCGCCCCTCTTTAGAAAAAATTGAAAAGTGCCAGTTTTGTTAAATCCCCTCCTGTCGCCTCCTCCCGTTGGTGAGACTGTGCTCTCAGGTCTGTCCGGTTTACGATTGATCAGTGTGTGATTTGAGGATGAGCGTTTTAACGGGACACCCTGCGGCAGGTCTGTGCCTCCGGGTAAAAAGCTGGGATGACGAAAGGACAAAAGAGTGGAGGGAGGAAGGGAGGGAGGGAGGGAGGAGGGAGTCACATCGAGGGCCACAGTCTTGCTTCTGATGATCTACAGCAGAGTTTTCCTCCACACATTGGTTAAAGATGAGAGAAAGGTCTGAGCTGCTCCAGCTGGACTTCCAGGGATATCCTCTCTTCAAGCAGGTCCTGGAAGAAAACAGCAGGCATGAGGTCAGAACATGAGACATCTCTGATTTACCAAAGCTACAAGATGCTCATTTTTTTCTTACCTTCAGCTGCTGCTGCAGTTCACTATTAAGTCGTGCCAGAACTGTGTTTGTCTCCTTGTTTCTTCTGATTGAAGCTTGAATTGCCTTTTTGTCTTTTCCGACTGACCTGAAAACAGAAACACACAAATTCAGCCACTAACAGTTACAACACCCTGAAAAGTCTCCTCCAACAACACCAGTTTCCTACCTGGGGATGGAGGGCTGAGTGGCCAGGACAGCAGCTATGACGTTTGACTTCTGTGGACCGTGCTGCTCGTCTTCTGGTCTTAGCTCGTCTTCAGACTTCAACCTCCGACGTACAGGTTTTGGTGGAGGAGCTAGAGGGCCAGATGAGCCTTTTGTCTGATGGGACAACAAAACCAAAAAAAAACAAAAACCCTCTTTATCAACACTGAGTGGGACTTGCTATTTACATGGAAGCAACTGTCAGTTCTTCCATTACTTTCTCCCAGATGTGTAGTTGTAACTGAAACATGTGTATTTGACGATTTATGCAGTTTATATAGTAAAGATGCTGACGTACAGAGTTGACTGTAGCTGAGGCTCTCTCATCTGCTTGGCCGTCACTTTTAACTGTTCTTAAAGGACCAGCGCCCTCTGGTGCCTTGTCCGCCTGTGGACACACACACAGACACACACAGACACACAATGAACACCAATGTGAAACTCTGAACTGCAGCCTACCAGAAATAACAGATAGTTATCATCCCATGAACTATGGGGTTTTAGTGATATCACATTTGAGCATGGTTGCAGAGCTCTGGATTCACAAGAGATGGACACCACACTTAATTTAGTATAGAATTTGTTACACAAGGAGACCACTTTCTGACATAATTATTCTAGTCTTGTAGTCGTAAAAATGCGACTAAATACTCAAGTGCTACAGAAGTTGCAATTTGAGCAATTCATTTCTAATTTATTTTAACAGCTACATTTAAAGGTTGGAAAGTTCTCAAGTAAGATTGAAACTCTTCTGGTTGCGACATTATTTAATTTAAAAAACACTTCAGGTCATACAAATAAAATCCCTCTCAAAGAATATGTAACTATATCTCTCTATCAATTATACAGAAGACTTCGTGATAAATACATTTGCAAATTGTAATAAATAACTGGCAAGGAAGGGCTGTTTTTCACTAATGCAGCAAATTGAATTAATGCGTCATAAATGAATATATTCAGACAAAGATCCGATAAAACTGTATTTATACAGCAGACCCCAACACTGATATACAACACTGCCTACAATGATGCACCTAGAGACGTTACCATAACAGCCACCAGTGTAAAATTGTTTCTGCAAAATTTCTGAAAGCTGTAAAATAGTTATAATGTCTAAGCCTGCCTCCCGACAATAACCTACCTGTCCTGCCTCGCTATGTTTGTCGACCTCTGGCAGGCTGGAGGGCTGTTCAGAAGCAGCAAAGGCCTGAAACTGACTGAAGTCTGCAAAGTTTGGCTGCTGAGGAATTTGCTGTGGGGAGGTGGTGGTGAGCACCGCCCCGCCTCCCGATACACCCTCAGCCTCCACACGATGCCCAGTGAGTGGTGCTGACGTCTAGGGACAAGGCAGAAGAAGAAGCAAGAGAGGAGGTTTTGACAGGTTAAAACCACAGGTAATGCCTGCAACAGCTGAAGCACACAGACGATGAAATGTCTTTTGTCTTACCTGTGTGGGTAGCGGTCGAGGTGGCACAGCAGGAGGGTAGGCTATCGTAGAGGACTGTGGTTGTCCTGTTGCAGACGTGGCAGCAAAGGTGCGGTTCATGTCCAGAGACGAGGAGCGAGAGTGGGAGGGGTGGGGGCGAGGGGGAGGGGGAGGCGGGGCTACCACCTTGAGTGCCTCTGGAGACGTACCTGACTGAGACCTGGACACAAACATGACGCTTTTAGATTTATGTATACACACAAAGTTTTATGTGGACAGATGGTCAAGGACAGGATTCCCCTTCAAATCTATCAATGTCACCTAACAGGAAGATGACTGCCACAGACCCAATAGATGAGGCAGCAACAAGGTGAGAAATATAGGGATTTCAACAACAATCTCTCGTTTTCAGTATTTGTCAGTAAAACAAATGAACTGACCTTTGTCTGGTGATTGGCTCCTGGTCAGAGGTGAAGGAGTCTGAACTGCTGTAACCATCACCTTAATGGAAACAATACAATCCATAAACACTGGATCAACCTACTGACCAACAGGATAAAAAAAAGTGTGCGACTTGCAACAAAACTATACAAAGGAAAGTATATTGACACAACACGTGATGACATCTATGAATTTAATACCAAGTATGATGTGTTCACAAAAACGGTGAGCAAATTACATTTCTACAGTGGTTAGTTATGACCTGACAGAGGGCCAAAAATATCTTCAACATAAATTTTGAAAAGTGACAAATTCCAGGACTGCATTGGGATTGTGATCCAGTACGTCCCACTGCACCCAACGCAAACCTCACAGGAGAGGGTGGTTTAAACTCTGAAGCCGACAGGAGCAGGCGGTCAAACAACAAACTGCCGGCACAGCAGCAACAATATTTTACTCACCTACAGCGTTGGCGGCTACAAACTTCATAGAGGCAGGTAATTTGGCTTCTTCAGACAGTTCCGGAGGTTTAGCCAGCAGAGGACTGGTCGGGTGGTTGTGGTCTACAGGTTTGACAAATAACAGGAAGGCTGTTGAGGCTACTGCATTCAATATTAGTTGATGAAAATAAACACTGAAAGTCAGCAGTTAGTCTCGCTATCAATTCTGACCTAAAATGCTTTATAGCAGCATCTACAGATGTTGATACTGAACCTTGCAACACAACAATTTCACTCCATGTTAATAAATAAAAAGTGCTGTGTTAATATGTCAGGTTCTGATGACTGATAATGAATGGAAACCTCTTGAGTTGTCATTTTCTTTCTGCAAAACCAAGTCTACTATCACATCTGGATGTTTTCACACCAAGTCAGATTTTTTTTCACACAAAAATCCAAGTCATGGTTTCTAAAACAAGTTCAGTTCATATTAGCTTTAAATCGCATTCAAGTGACTTCAAAGTGTTAAAGTGACATCGCAATTTCTAAAAACTGCAAAATCAGGATTTTGTGAAGTCAGGCTCGAGGCCGGAATGAGTCTCACCGCTGCCAGTCCTCTTCAGCTCCATCTCCTGCATGTGGATCTTACTGGGCGTCATTCGGATGGGAACTGGGTGAACAATGGCCGTGTCCTGGAGGACAGACAGAGATACAGCGGGTCAAACAAGGAAATATGCAATTTTCTGCTCGCTCTAGGTTCTCTCCTCTGTGAGAAGCCTGGCCAAAATATCTCTTGTTTTTCTAAAACGCACTCAACCTGCATCTGACAACAGTGATGAGGAGGCTAGAAGCTCTGCTGATGGTAGGTAAGGTAGTCCTAACCAGAGCAGGAGCAGCCCTCCTGCTGATAACGTTAGAGCTGCGCCTCCTGAGAAGCACAGGAGGACAGGCTTTGACCCATCTAGGCTGTCAAAGAAGGAATATCCCTCGCTTAGGTTAGGTGTAAAAGTAAAAATGGATACTTATTTCAGCTCCACACAAGCACTCACACTGTGATCAAACTGTAGACCAAATATAATTTATAAAAAAATAAAAAATATCCCGCAGGGGGCCAGGTGGGCTGCAGTGGGCCTCCTGCCCTAAATCAGTCAACCTAAGGGAGACAGTGACTGTGACAACACAGGCACAATGTTTAACTCATTTAGACAGAACAAGGCTCTGGGGACAGCCCATCTGTCAGACGGAGTGAGCCGTTTTGTTTATGCTCCTGTGTGGAGCCAGGATACGTCTGTGTAGATTCTCAGCTATCCAGGTCGCTACAATCCTCAGAGCTTCAGTGGAAGACAACTGGACTTCTCTTTTTGGTTCTTAAAGACATTTCCCCTCTTAGACAAGAAGCTTCCTTGGTTCTGACTGGTGGGGAGTGTAAGATATTTATCCTTACCTCCAAATCACATGGCCCAAGGCCTGTTAGAGACCCAAGACTCACATGGCTCAAGGTAAATGTAAATGGTGGAGAAACTGCCTGGTGAAGGACAACTCGAGGTGGTGACAGAGCTGAAACTGCCTGAGGAGGGATCACAGGACTGTGTTGCACGCACCTGATAAGTGGTGTCATAGACTGTCAGTTCTGTGTAGAGATGGCTGGAGTATCCCTCCCCAGCCAGTTTCATAATCTTTCACACTTGGCCATGAGCTATGGGTCAGAGTAGTACCTGGGACTACACACCAGTCAGTTAGAACTGAGAAAGCTTCTTGGATGAGATGGAAAATGTTTTCAAGAACCAAGAAGAGAAGTCTGGTTGCCTTCTACTGAAGCATCTGGGTTTGTGTGGAGGAAGGTTGAACACCTGTGCTGCACACCCAAAAGGTTCAAAAAAGAATCTAATCAACTGACCAAGAAAGGAAAAGATTGAAAGATTTAAAAGTCCTGCAAACATGCTGTCTCAACCATCTCTGACAATCTTTTTTCAGAAACAAATTAAACAGTTTAGGTCATTCTAGAGTGTTTTTCTGTATTTGCTTTGTCCCTGTTGGCAAGAAAAGATGCCTTGCACTTCTGAACACCAATCAACACTTGAATCAAAACGTGATGACATTTGTGTTCACCTCCACTGTCAAAAAAAAACTTAGATTAAACCATGTCTATGTTGTCCTGATGAAGCAGGTACAGTTGGTGTGTGGATGTTAAACTCTTCTTAAATAACGACAAATGTTTTTTTTTCTGAACATTATCTTCGATTGATGCACATTTAATAATTGATATTAAATCTGATGGAGGAATACCGACTTAATCAAAACAATGTTTTGAGGTGATCTAATGGTTAAATTTTATGTTATTGCTTTTTCTGTTGAAGTTTCTGCCCAGAGTTAGAACACACCTAAAAGCAATCTAAAAAGATGCACACTCCAGCAAAAAGGCAAACTGTGGTTGTCAATACTTTCCACCAGACTAATTGTGCAGAGCTATTCCTGAGTCAATTATTGCCGTAAGGATATTAAATTCTGCCAGAGTGACAAAAAAAAAAAAAAAAAAATCCCAAAGGACATAGGACAGGTCAGCAATAAACGACAAAGCACAGCAAAACTGAACACACATTTAAGTACTTACAGCTCTGACCATATGTGGAAAAATGTATCTCTGACAATCTGCAAATGCACTAATGATTGGTGGATGTCACTGTAGAAAAAAAGGTGAGGTCCAATAGAAGCTAAGCCAGCCAAATCACAACTCACACTGGCCACTGCTGATGCAGTGAACTGCACTTTGGAAGAACATCATGCACAGACAGAGAGACATAGAGAGAGACTGAGAAAGAGAGAGAGTGAGAAGGCAGAGAGATCCAGAGAGGGTTAATGTCTGTTCATTAATGGTGAAACCATGCATACTAAGTGATTGACTTACAGGGTCAGCTGGTGCAATGTTAGAGTCAAATTGGGTCAGAGTTTGTGAGCTGGAGGAGCGCTCGCTAAACGTCTCCCACTGCTGCAGGAGACAGACAGACAGTGAGAAAAAAACATGTCAGTCAGCCAGTGCAGTGACATCACACATTTACAACATCAGTCTGAGCCTCTGTGGCGATGTGACACCACCAGTCATCACCAGACGACATGGCGACGTGACATCCTCAGCAGACATAGAAACAAAACATCAGACATCACTGACTTCCATACAGAACCGCAGGCTACGTCACAGTCCCAAGAAGTGAGAGAAGAGGTTCTGAATTATCAGTAATTATGTTTGATGATAAAGAGGATGGAGTGACAGTCAAATCATGATGGATGGATAAAGAAAGAGCAATTTGACCTAGTTAACCCTGAGCAATTAATGAAAGTGAATCAAATGCAAACACAGCAAAAGCAAACAAGCACAGAGTTTACAGTGTGTGTGTGTGTGTGTGTGCGTGTGTGTGTGTGTGTGAAACTACTACGTAATGATGTGTTGTGTGCATGTTGGAACCTCGTTGCTCTGGTTCATCTCTGGCCACGCCTGGTTGAGTGAAGGCATGGAGGGAGATTTGTTGGGGGTCACTTCCACTGGCGATGCAGAGTATCCAACATCAGCAGTCGACTCTGGGACTTCTGGATACGTCACATGAGACACGTGTTAGATACACAAATATGGGTTCTACATAACAAACAAATGTGACAATCAGCCTGCATAATCCAACTGAACCTCTGAACCCCAAAACACACCAGCAAGTTTGAACAGAATGTTATCCTAAGTACATATAAAAACAAACAATTACTAATAACCATTTATCGAAGCAGAAACTGAAAATTAGCCACTAACATTTACACTCCCTACATGCTGTAAAAAACAACAAATTCATCACTCCTCAGAGTAACAGAAAAGTCATGAGTGACTCAGCTGTCACTCAGTCATGTGACAAAAATTCTGAGACTATTTGGCTGAACTGAAAGACTGCATCTACACAGAGCAGATAGAAGACAAGTATAAAAACAAATTAGAGCCTAATAGCAAAATAAAACATACTTGACAAATAAAATGAATGCAGCATGACTCAAAGACAGTGTACAGAGGAGAAGGTTGTCTGTAAGTTTATATCCTAAAAACTACAAATACTGAAGTTTAAAAACAGCATGTGCTTTTTACGGTACATTATCTCCTGGACTATCTCTTGATTGGGCACAGTGAGTTCCTGGAGTCTCTGCTCTTTGCCAGTCACTCAGTGTGACAGGGATTTCAGGAAGATACTGGCAACTGGTTGCCATTGATGTCATATAATCAGCAATCAAGAAATGAAGCACCTTACCCTAAAATGTTAAACTATGTCTTTAAAACAATTTAAACAATATTTAGAGATTACAAAAAAGTTTAGAAAGCATTATCTGCACACTCATTGTCGCTGCCGTCTTCCCATGAACATAAACTACCCGAGCTATTTATCCAGTGTCGGCACAATGCATTTTGATTATCTGTGATTTGTGTGAGATGAATATTATCCTGTGCTCTTTAGAGGACGTAATGCCATCAGCAGGGGTATATAAAACTGTTTTTGCATGCACCATGCATAGCAATGATAAAAAAAAACTATATTTAACTACCCATGGCTAAAAATATGAAACTTGAAACCACAACCATTTTGGCTTCTGTCCTTTGAGAAATATTAACTACATCAAACTAAAGACAGAGATGCTTTCTTTGCTGTTTTGCCATTCCTGCATATGTATTAACAAAGTATATACAGACAAAAAAAACATTGAAAGGAAGCAGGAATATCAACCACCTCCATGAAAACACAGCCCAGTCTAAATCAATTCACTGCTAGAATGATGCAAGTTTTGCAAACTGCAGTTAGTGCAGCAGCCTCACAAGTCTGATGAGGTTTGAAGTTGGCAAATTAGGAGACGGCGCATCAGAGAGAAAATGTGAGCTGGCGTACCTGCTGAATCATCCAGGTCAATCAGCTTTGGCATGAGGCTCTCAGGTAGCTTCTCGGGGAGGTCGTAGCCGTTCTTCCTGGCTACAACCAGGTGAAAGGCGGCACAGAACTCATCCAAGGTCAGCGCTCCGTCTTTATCAAAGTCCGACAGCTCCCTTCAAAACACACATTTAGCCCGTGTCACAGTGGTATCTCATCTTCTGCAGTAAGATTATTGTATCTTTTATTACAGCTTCAGAACATTCGCCTCGCAGCAACAAGGTTCTGGGTTTGAACCTGTTGGTCAGCTGGGGCCTTTCTAGGTGACAATTGTATGTTCTCCCTGCACCTTTCTAGGTTTTCTTTCTCTTACAGTTCAAAGAGATGCACTGCAGGTTTATTGTTGATTAGGAATTGGTTCGTGTGTGTGTGAGTGTGAGTGGTTGTCTGTCTCTTTGTGTTAGCCCTGTCATAGAGTTGTGACCTTTCCAGGGTGAACCCTGCCTCTCTCCCAGTGTGAACTGGGATCGGCTCTAATCTCCCTGAAAACCTCCACGGGGTAGAGATGGTCTAACTAATGTATGGGTGCCTTCCTTTTATTTTTATTTTGTCTGCATGTAGGCAGGAAGCAACAGCACACGTGCAGACAGACTATTTGTACAGACAGACCCTATTCCACCCAGCCTTTAGTGTTCAGAGTTAGTGATATATGCAGTAGCCTGTCCAACTCAAAACCAGTAGTGACGACTGCAAATGCTTCCTCCTACACAACTAATCCTTTTAAGAACTGGATGAAGGGCCCAAAACCAGTTTTTTTATATGCAGTAATTAACTGCAATTATCCAGGAACATGTTACTTCCCTTTAAAATAACAGTAAGTTGGTACATCGTCTTGTAACAAACAAGCAGCGAGAAAAAGCTTTGTACAAATTAGATAAGTGACTTCTGAAATCTACTGGAAGAAAATGCTGATTTTCTCCACGTGACATAACATATTGGTAGATTTTACCAAATGGTAGGTTTCACAGACTAGCTCATCAGTGGCACTATACTTTGACAATCCAACTTCAAAGTAAAGAAATCCCTCCAGCTTCTCAGCATCTTAAGGCTTAACTGCCATGCACTGCACTCGACTACAAACAAATGAACTAAGGTAAGACAGTTGCACTACAGCCTTTACGACTGATATATATATATATATTTATACACACACACACACACACTCAAATATTTCATGTATAGATGACCATCAAGTCCATTCAGGTGGCTCATACACCTACACGGTACTAAGTCTCTCCAAAACAGACAAACCAGTAAAGACAGTAACTGACAAGAACAGTGAGGACTTACCAAATATGTGACAACTCTAAAATTGGTAGTTTTGATTTGGTGAAGAACTCTTTTGCTGCTGAACCTGAAACATACAAAAAGTACGATTGGTTAAAACAATCCTTATTTATCCACATTAGCTTTTTTTTTTTTTTTTTTGGTATGTGTCTGTATTTTCCGACCTGGTATGAAACCAGTGAGGTCAGGCTGAATGGTTTTGAACTGGTTAATGTAATACTGTCGCTGCTCATCTGTGATCTTCCACGGATCATCGTAGGTGCTCGACTGTCTCTGGATCTCATTGGTCGTTGCAGCTGAGGCCACCGTTCGTATCGTTGTGCTTTCCTACAAGAAACACAAGGGACATTTACAGAAACAGTTAAGTTATGTAAAAATAACAAGCCTAACTAAGCAAAATAGGGTTGGTAAAACTAGCCAGAAAGTTGAATTGTAAAACTATACAAACACATTTTTATAAATTACAGTAGTAAAATTCTAATACTACTATACTATGAAACAAAATTGATAGGAGAATTTTGGGCAAAAGCAGCGTTGACTGTTCTATCATGTTCCTAGTTCAAAATGACAATAATATGATACTAGAAACTAAAAACGGGCACAACGTCTACCTAAAATTAGGCACTGGGTACAAAGTACTTTGCCTGAGTAATGTCACACAAGCTGCTCGAGTTTCAGTTTACCAGTGCCGGCAGATAAAGCGCTGATACAAAATGCTGGGTGATGTTAGCGACATAACTGTGGTTAGGATGATATCTCATGTTTTACACTTTGCAACGTCAGGTGAAGCTCCTTTTTATGATGTTTGTCATCAGGATTAGAACAGCCTGTTGCAATTATCGTGTGTAGTCGTTCTCATAACTGACTAATTCATTGCCTGTTGAGCTGCATCATCCCGTCTAGTTGTGTATTCTAGGTAGGGGTGGGTATTGTTAAGATGTTAACTGTACTATTACTTTTATAATACTGCTTTTTGATCCAGTGCTGTATTTTTCTGGGTTGTTTTTGTTAAATGAAACCAATTAAGAATAGAATTAAAACTAAAATCCAAGACATCTCCTTTGACAGTATTTTCACAGTGCAGTATTCATAGCTGTACCCCAGAAACATTTTCAAGCATTTCTACCACTGCCAACACTAACATTATTAGCTAGAGAAAGGACACAATAAAGCAAAACAGAGTCCTGCAGCCCTCAAATTACATCACTAAATCCTCTCTCTGCTCTGAAATTGAATGTTTGATTGATAGTTCAGAGGACGCTCTGATAATCTCAGATTGAATTTATTAACATAGTTAAACAATCAGCTGGCTAATGGTTACTTTTAATCATTAACCCTTGTTTGAATAATTTAGTCAACTCCATATGAGGACTCCAGATGGCTAGTGTACATAATATATGCATTTTATTGCACTTGTGTCAGTGTGTATTGTCAGGAAATATGCACAAACTAGAAACGGCGCTGGTTAGATAAAATGTGCAAGATGTTTATGTTACAATAGGTCATTGGAAATCTATGTTCCTAATTAGCAGAACAGATATCATTAGATGTTATCAGATCTCTAGTCTTTAATAATTTAATACCTGTTTAATACTGGGTTTTGATACTAATCCCAAATTCTAAGGGTGTATATGTGTGCCTCAACAGTATGTAACCTTTATTTTATGCTGTCTCTTTGTCAACACAGCATCTGTTTCTGCTGTGTGATTGTCTGATAGTGGTAGAACTTAGTTACACAACCAGCTAAACTGAATTCCAAATAATTATACCACAAATATAGAGATAATGACTCAGCTGAAAATGTGAATTACAAAGGCATCCGACTTAGCTCATATAAAGGGAAACATGTGGGTTTGCTTGCATGGTAAAGCTATGTCGCTGCCCCAGGAAGTCAGCTGAGCAGAAGTGAACTTTCTTGTGACAGAAGTGTAACGCTGCCCTACCTGGACTGACGAGGGGTGCATTGCTGGGAGCGTGCTGGATGGTGGTGTGTCTGCTGTAAAACTGACCCAACTTTCCTGTCCTGGAGGAGGAGGTGAGTGGGACCACATGCCATCACCAGTCACTGGACCTGGAACTAGAATAACAAGAAAGCATATCTTCAAACATTCCATTGTATATCTTGTGCACAAAGTGCTGTTTTCATACTATTATTTTTTTGTTGAACATCTCAACCACATTTTGTGCTGACAAAACTAGATCAGAGGTCATGTGATGTCTACTTTGTTCCTCTAATGACCAACTGCAGCCTTTCTCAGCAAAAAATATTAACAATATGTACAAGCTGCAAACACCAGGAAGTGACACAAACACAACTGATGCGTTTCACATGCTAACACTATTACTTACGTCACAACTAAGAGCAACTTGTGTTCCATATCTGTCACTTTTTTCATAGATGTTATCATCATCATCTGTAGCTCAGTGAGAGTGAATA